AAAATATGATTTGATTTGTTTTGAACTCAGATTTAAATCACATTGATTTAAAATGTAACAAATTAAAACAATCAAAGAAATCCAATTGCTAAAATAAAACAACAATATTTGTTGCACACATCATCAAAATGCATTCCATGTAATTGAAAAATGTGCGCACAAAACAACATCCTTATTTTGCAAATAATATGTTGCACACATGTTGGGACATTGGTTCCCACGTGTGTCATTCTTCTACAAAACCGCATGAAACACCGTTGTCATTTTGCATAATGCAGCCAACCAAAAAGGAACAATAATATAGGTTCTTAGGACATACGATATTTAGGTCAATGAAGTCCATGAACATGCGTTACTTGTTCACTTGTTTCATCACCAACACCATGTTAGCTAACCATGTAGGATCTTTCATTTTTGTGATTAACCTGGCGTTGGATAGCTTTCCTACTTCCTCGTTAATGGCAACTCTCTTCTCCTTGCCAACTTCCACTTTGTATGTGCCATTAGCTTGGCAGAGTGGTCTATTCCTAGCATGTTAGAGGGAGCTCAAATGAACAAGTTGCCGTTTCTAATGAGTTGGTTGACCAGTTTGTATTCTTCTTCCTCAGTAACCAAAATTCCTATCTTGTTCACTTGATGAGATGATCGACTTATTCTGACTTCTTTCAAGTGCTTCGCGGACATGAGTCTCTTGTTGTCACCACTCAACCTAAGATCCCAACAATTACTATCTAGAGCTTCTGGGAAGGGGAACCCACAAGGGCAAACTTCTCTCTTTCTGCATCCAAACTGCTCTGTTAACACTCTTAAGTGCTTCGTTCTCCTTAAATTTCTCCTTGAATTATCCTGATTCGCCTACCAGGCAACAGGTACTTCAAGACCAGATGGCGGGTCAGCCTAGGATGATGTTATAAGGCGACGAATTCGTCTAATACGAGATAGCTGACTTTGACCGCCTTGTAATTCGTTCCTTCACCGCATGTTATTTTTAGGGTTATGTGGACCTTCACTTGTATCCGTTCCCCTAAAATTCCTATTATCGAACCCTAGAAGGATTTGATATATTGTTTCTCCGAACGTTGTTTCTCTGAATGTTCAAGGAATTATTGTGAAAGGCGGTAGATGTTGGCAACGACTTTAATAATAAGCAAGACTTTGAGTCTCGTGATAAAATGCTTAAATGGATTTGTATGGAGGCATCTAAACTTTGATTTGGTGTGGTTATTGGAAGGTTAAACAATGATTCAAATAAAAGAAACACCTTTGTGAAAATGGTGTGCGAAAGAAGCGGGAGATATCGAACTCCTATCCAAAATTTTAAAAAAGACGACACGGGTTAGTAGAAAATGTGAGTGCCTGTTTAAGGTTCATGGTTATATGTTTGCAAAAAAAAAAATAATATTTAATGTGATGTGTGGTTTGCATAACCATGATCTGTGTTTAAAATTAGCCGGTCATCCTAGTGTATGTGGGCTTAAGCCGGAAGAGAAGGAATGTATTAGTGACATGACCTTGAATCTTGTTCAACTAAAAAAATACTTACAACATTGAAACATAAGTGACTCTATAATATATCAAATATCAAGCAAGCGTATAACATTCAGTACCTCACTAATAAGACGATTAGATGGGATAGAACTGAGATGCAACAACTCTTGAAACTATTGGGCGATAACAGTTATGTGTCTCGGTACCGAACGTGTGATGATGGAGTTATGATTAGAGATATCTTTTGGACTCATCCTGATTCGATAAAGCTGTTCAACACATTTTCGGCGGTGCTCATACTTGATTCAACCTACAAGACCAACAAGTATAGACTTCAATTATTTGAGATGATTTGTTTACCTCAACTGAGAAGACATATTCTGTTGGTTTTGCATTTCTTGAGTGTGAAAAGGAGGACAACTTTACTTGGACATTAGAGGTGTGTCGGTCACTTTTGAAGGTCCGAGGTGAGAATCCTAAAGCGAGTCTTATCGAACGCGATACTACATTTACGAATTTGGTTGCAAAAGTATTTCCTTCTTCTAATGCATTACTTTGTAAGTATCACATAACAAAGAATGTGAGAAGTCGTGTTAAACCTACGGTATGAGCGAAACATATAGAGTCTGAAGGTGGAAAATTAGTGAAGGCGGTTGTGATTGTGGAAATATTTATGGATGCATGGAATCGTATAATAAATTTTTCCTCAAAAGAACTATACGTCGATTCCGTTATTCATTTTCTGAAAAGTGTGTGAAAAGTATCCAGATTTGTTGAAATATGTTAAAAACACTATTCTTAATCAGGTGAAGGAGAAGATAGTTTATGCTTGGAATGATAATGTTTGACACCTTGGAAATTCAACTACTAACACAGTTGAGTCGACCCATGCTACTTTGAAAAATTAGTCGGGAAATAGCAAATGAGATTTATGTAGAGACTGAGACTCCGTGAACCACATGATTCAAAACTAGCATAATAAGATACAAACAACATTTGGTCAGAGCATCACAGTTTTGGAACACCGATTTAAAGACAACACTTTATATTCTCAGTTGGTCGGTAACATTTCTCGGGCGGGTTTGAACCATATTTTTCATGAGGCTAAACGAGTTGATAATGTAGGATCTGATAGCGCAAAGTATGGTTGCACTATTGTAAAAACATATGGTCTCTCCTGTGCTTATACTATTGCTAAAAAGGTGAAACTTGGCGAACCAATAAGAATATATGAGGTTTGCTCTCATTGTAAGAGACTTAGCTTCGATGATGATGGATGGATGGCGGGAAATCAAATATCTTCATTTTTACCGAATGGGAAGAGATACAAGAGATATTTTTGAAGACCGATAACAACATGAAACTCCACATCAAAGAAAAATTGAGGAAGATTTCATATCCCGAAACTAGTGACATGAAACCGCCTTCTTAACCAGTAAAAACAAAAGGTGCTCTGAAGAAAATGAATCTTACACCGAATGACAATTCGACTACACGGTCTCCTTCATATTTTGAACATGTTGACAAAGTTTTTCTCGATTCATTGACTCCAAAATCTGGAAAAAAAAGTCTTGTGAAAGGAGCCCGCATTAGAAAACACATATGATGTCGCTTCCGATGAACATTCCATTCATCGAGGAGATGCCGGTTTTTATGTACAAATATATCGAGCATATCATCAATGTTATGAGGGACAATAATTGTGGTTACTAATCCGTTTCGGCTTTACTCGGTAAAGGAGAAGACAATCATGCACTTGTTCGACATCAACTTATCCAAGAGTTGAAGACGAATAAAAAATCGTACACGCGGTTGTACAAAAATAAAGAAAAATTCAATACGGTTTATGAGTCTCTTGTTCCTTGCTTGAGCGGTCTGGCACCGTAGTTAAAATGGACGAGCTTCCCAGAAATGTGTCACCTAAGAGCATTTGCATATGATATGGTCTGCATTGACCTAACACGCTACAGTTTTTCGGAAACCTTTTTCCCACTGTGCACCGCATCACCCCAAAATCCAAATGATCGTATCATGTATATTGAATGACTTTTGAAATCAAGCCATTTTGTTCAAGTTGGCTTGAAACCGAGTTGCGTCATACCACTTACATCACCGGAGTGGACGACCCATTCAACCGCAAAAGCTGAGACGTGGCCACATCATTTTATGAAAAGGATGCAAGAATTCAAGAATTTGAACAACATTGAAAAAGATTCGAATGCACAAAAGTCCAAGTGGGTACCACCTATAGATTTAGCCGACGACAAATGTTTTGATTCGTTTTAATTTCTCGTTTAACTGGATAAATAATTGTATATATTTGTATCTTAATATAAACGAAGTGTTACATTTTCAAATTTTATTCATATTTGGTCTTTATGCATATTTGGTTCATATTTGGCCTTTATGAAGTTTCTGTTATATGGTTTTGTTTTGAAAATGTTTTAGGAAAAGTTTCGGAGATACATCTTCGGAAGGTTCTGTTATATGGTTCTTTTTTGAAATGGTTCAGAAGAAGTTTCAAAGGTACATCTTTGGAACAAGATAATAAGGTGCGATTCTGGAGATATATATTCGGAATCAACATGAAAGTTAATAAGTGGTCCATATTGAACTAGGTTTTATATAAATCTAGGTGTTCTTGTGTTATATATCACACACACTCAAAATGTCTCAAAATTTCACAAATAAACATCCATTGGTATGTCGCAAATGTCTCCTACTCTAGAGGCTCTACACCCGGGAGGACGTTTAAGCTCACCGATCTCACCCCCTCAAATATATCATATACGAAATCCACTATCTTCTACCTCACGGAGACAAACGAAAGGTTGTGAAGCTCGAGTACCGTTCACCTTCTGTTGACAATGAAGAGAACATTGTGTTTAGCAAATTTGAGCTCAAGACTCAAGTGAATGTTAGGACTATGTGAGATACATATCTCATTTTCGAAGAGAAAGTTCTGCTCGAGTTGGAAGCGACGCTACAAAGATCGGTCGAAGATATTCGAAAGATGTGCAAGCGTCCACTTGAATATTGAAATGTAATATTTAATTTTCTGTTGAAATCATCATCGTAATGATCACTTTATGTTATGAATGTAAAATGCATTTTGCAAAGTTCATTTTCTATTGAAACTGTTTATGGTGTTTTTCCGAAGATGTAACTACGAACTTGTTTCAAAAATGTATTTTCAGAACAAATTAAACCTAATATATAGGGCGAATTTCAGAATTTCCTTTACTAAGTGTACAAAAGATACGTCCGAAAATTTATCTTTAAAATCTAAAATTATATATAAAAATTCACACGGTGCGCTAAAAGTATATAGAGTGTCATAAAAAATTCTTAAAAAAAATAACCAAAGAAAGCCCAAATAATTATAGATATGGGTCGGCCCATTTGGTAAAACAGTCTGCAGCTGTAACATTTGGGAACGCTTTTGCCTTCTTCTAACTCTGTTTCTCAAATGCTGTAAAACCCCCTAGACCCTACTATTTCCGACCACCGCGATGGCTTCGTCGCTAATCATCTACCGCCGCAGCTTCAGAGTACTCTCCGCTCTCCACCATTCCTTTTCATCTACTCTGACACTTCCAATCAGCAGCGACCACATTTCACCATCATCGTCGTCATCATCATCATCATGTTCACGTTCGCCGAATATCGTTGGCGTTCAATCCCGTACATTCATGTCGACGTCAATGTCTCTTTTGTCTTCTCGTTATTCAGAGACTCCTGACGCGATTGGTCCTGATACTATCCTCTTTGAGGGTTGCGACTACAACCACTGGCTCTTCGTCATGGATTTTCCCAAAGACAACAAACCTTCGCCCCAAGAAATGATTCGTACCTATGAAGAGACTTGTGCCAAGGGTCTCAACATCAGGTTTTTCATTATTATCAATACTTACCAAACATAGTTAAGATTTTGGGAAAATTGTTTAACTTCGAATGTTTGATTTTAGTGTGGAAGAGGCAAAGAAGAAAATTTACGCTTGCAGCACAACCACTTACACAGGCTTTCAAGCTGTCGTCACTGAAGAAGAGTCCAAGAAATTTGAAGGTATTTCTTCTTCTTATTTTGAACACTCACCTTTCTTTCAATGACCTACGGTTACTTGAATTCATACACTTTTATGCTTTTCAACAACAGGTCTTCCCGGAGTCATCTTTGTGCTACCAGATTCCTATATTGACCCTGTCAACAAGCAATATGGAGGTAACATTTTGTTTATCCATCATCTTAATTCTAGTTTCTAGACATGCTTACTTGATTCGAGGACCTATTCATTGCTTACTAGTTCAATTTCATTGTAAGCTATTTTATTCTAAGTTGCCTGAGAACCACTTTTAATGTACGATACAGGAGACCAGTATATTGATGGAACAATCATCCCTCGACCTCCACCCATACAATACGGGAGAAATCAAGGAGGAAGACGAGACTTTAATCGACAAGGACAAGGGAATCCCTCTTACAATAATCAGGCTGGAAGAAACTTCGGACCTTCACAAAATTATACACCCCAACAAGGATCACAAGGATATTCTCCCCAACAGAGCCATGGTCAAACATCGCAAGGATATCAGCCCCAACAAAACTATTCACCCCCACGTAACATTGGTCAAGTACCACAGAGTTACTCCCAACAGCAAACCTTTGGTTCTGTTCCACCACAACAGAGCTTTGGGTCACCAGGACAAGGTTATGTGCCACAACAGAACTTTGGACCACCAGGGCAAGGAGAAAGAAGAAATTATGCGCCACAGCAAAACTTCGGACCACCAGGGCAAGAAGAAAGAGGAAATTTTGCGCCACAACAGAACTTCGGACCACCAAGACAAGGAGAAACAGGAAAATTTGCGCCACAACAGACCTTTGGACCACCAAGACAAGGAGAAAGAAGAGACTCCGTGCCTAGTGAAGGTGGATGGGATTTCAAACCGTCATATACGGAGGAATTTGAACAGGCTGATAAAGGGAATCATAACACCAGAGAACAGTCAGGTTCCCGACAAAGATTTCCACCTCCTGGCCTGGGCAATTTTACCGGAGAGGTATGATAGAATAGAATTTAGCAATATTTATGTTTATTTAAGAATAACAATTTTCATTTGTAGAAAAGTAATGCGCTTGCCTTGTTTTAGGAATTATGCGAAACTGTAAATGACGAACCTATATCTCTGTAAAATGTGCTATCGGAAAAAATGTAATTTCTTTGTTTCAATTAAATCTAAAATGTGATTTGTTTTTGTTATCTTATGCAGGGAAGATATTGATCATAATCTGAGTCCGGTTGGGGGCTTGTACTGAAGTTACCAATATTTTTTTCTAAGTTGATTGAATGTCCTTTCCAATGGGGTCAAAAATTGAATCTATTGAGTTGTCATTGTATAATATTTCCATGTTCTGTTGTCATTACAAAGATGAATGTTGTATGTAAGGCTTTTACTAGCCACCTCCTGGTATGTTTAAACATGTTTGAACTGGTTTATGTCAAATACTTCTTTCTTTCCTTGATGATGAACAGATTGAACATGGTTTTGTTCTCACTTGTGTTGCTTACCCTAAGTCTGGTGTTATTGAGACTCACAATTCAATTTTCAATTTCTACTTTTAAGTTCCTCTCATTTTATTATTACGTCTTTTTGTTGCCATTTAAATTGTATTTCTACTGTCTACAATGAGTTGTAGTAACTCTATTAACTCCTTCATATGTTTGCAGTATTAAGTGAACTTAATTATGTTGTTCTGTCTCTATTATATATGTTGTCTTCTTACTCATAAATCTTCATTTCCCCTCTTTTCTTGGGTTGGATATTATATGAAATTTGATTTTCCTATATGTTGTTTTCTGTGTTTGAGCATATGGGTATTCTTCTTTCGAATCAGAAGAGTGCTTCTTTTCCTTTTTTCTTTTTGAAAGATTTCAACTTTTTGTATTAGAACCGAAGGCTGTGTAGTGTTGAGGTAGGAATAAATAATGGAGCACGTTGTGCAGCAAGGCTGTTTTCTGGCCGAGACTACTACATGTTCGGTTGCCTCTGTTGTTACTGGCACGGTCTTCGTCTGCTTCTTGGGTGAGTATTCTATCCACTGTCTTTGTCTGCTTCTTGGTTGAGCGTTCTATCCACTGCTTTGGAAAGGTAAACACATTCAATCACAGATTTCTTTAAAATGATCTTCTCAATGAATCAACCATTCTCCGCTGTTTGTCTGCCATTTTGTTAGATAGTATTGAATTTGCATTTTATTTAGTATTCTTAAGAGAGAGTCCCACATCGGACAATATATGGCCTAAATATGTCTTTATAAGTGGGGGCAATCCTCACTCTACAAGTCGTTTTGTAGGGTTCAGTTAGGTGTAAGCACATTTCTTAACATGGTATCAGAGTCTGGTTCAAGATCCGATGGGGCACATGCTATCAGATTTTTTCTATTGGGCCATCCACCATTTATTTCCATGCTCAAGATGTCCAATCTTGGGCGTGAGGAGGTGTGTTAAGAGTCCCACATCAGACAATATATGACCTAAACACGTCTTTATAAGTGGGGGCTATTCTCACTCTACAAGTCGGTTTTGTAGGGTTGAGTTAGGTCCAACCACATTTCTTAACAAGTAATATCTTAGGAAATTACGTGCAAGTGACATAAACAACTTAAGAAGCAATAATGTATAATAACGACATGAAGTACTTAGTAAGTCTAATAACATGTTTCTATGTTCTCAATCTATCTGCTGGAAATTTGTGATTTTCCAAGTAAAATATGTAATGTATTTGTAATCCGGTCATTCCTCATAGTTGTATTCTTTTTTGCTCTTATTTTCTCTGCTGTTGCTTATGTAGAATGCCTTTGAAATAAATGGCTTCATTTATTTGGACATATGTAAGGTTTAGATATTTTAAGATTCAAAGCTATCATAAAACTACCGAACCAACCCTGTGTTATTCTCCTGAAAAATGCAAGGCTCTTCTATTGCACTAAATACCAGATCACACTCACCTTGTTTGCTCCAGAAAGACTCATCCTTGTTTGCTCCGGAGCAACTCATAGTAGTACTCTCGTGGCATCTCGAATATTTTCTCAATTTTGCTACTCTTTTTTCTTTTTATGCGTAGCTGATGTATGAAAGAAACGAGAGTTGATATTTCCTCCTTTGCGAGCTTCTTCTCCTTGTACTTCACATATTTTGGAATGATGACAGTTTCCATTACGCCAAATCATCAAGTAGCATCAATCTTTGGAGCAGCATTTTATGGACTCTTATATCTCTTTTATGGTTTCTTTATCCCAGGACCGGTAAGTACTATATTTTTTATTGCAATAATTATCTTTTGCTGTTTTTTTTGACATGATTGCTCTACAAAGTTTTTGAATTTCAGAAAATTCCTAAATGGTGGATTTGGTATTATTGGATATGTCCAGTAGCATGGACAGTATGGATTGATTGTGTCACAATATAGAGATGTCACAATAGGCATAACTGTGGCTGGAGAGAGTGGAGAAACTTCAACCAATAAGTTTATTGCAGATCATTATGGGTTCAAATCAGATTTCACGGGACCAGTTGCTGCTGTTTTTGGTTGCTTTCACTGTTTTTTTTTGTCTTTGTATTTGCCTTCTGCATCAAGGCACTGAACTTCCAAACCAGATATGTATTTGTATACTATACTGCTATAATCAAAACATGTTATTAGGAGGTAAAGATTAGTCTAATCTTTTTATGTTTTAGTATATATTTTCTATATAATTCTTGTATTTGTAACATTTGTCATTCCTATTGAAACTCTAATTTTTTTCCTTCTCATTCTCATCATCTATTTTTTCTATTTTAATTTCCATTGTTAACAAGGTATCATAGCATGGTTCGATTTTAGGATTTGTTAAAGAGGTCCATAGTTTTTGCGGGTTAGGGGCAGTTTTGCTTTTAGTTTTCAACTTGTATGTGCTTGTGGGTTTTAGTGCAATTATCTTAGTTTTCTGTTATCTGTCCACTCCGCCTCATTATTTTGATTGCTTAAATCTTCTCCTAGCTATTTCTATGTTAAGGTTTTTAATTCAATTGTTTCGTTAGTATGTTTTTCCTGAAAAAAATCTGTCCACTTCGCCTCATTATATTTAATGTTTACACCTACAAACATATTTGACGGGTCGACTCTCTTTTACCACCCATATCCAAAACTCATGAAAATGGCACAAACAAAAATAATAGTCAAGGTAAAAAATAATGTTAGAGGATGCATAAAAATGGAAATCAAACAAAATGGCAAAATCTTTAATAAGGATATGTGAAAATTAATTGTGATGTTAACCTTTCGTTTAAGGATTAATGGGGCACTTATCAGTTGGAGAAAAGTGATAGTGTCGTTACGACTTAGATGACCTGCGAGTTTGATGAAGCTATGGTGGTAGAAGCGTACATGGCGCATCAAGAGATAACCTTTGCTAAAGTGTGTTGTTTTTGCAAGTTTGTTATTGAATGATACAAACTTAGAAAATGTTTAAACTTGATGAGGATGATATAAGGGAAGAACATGACAATAATAAAAGGATACAATGAGAGGATCATTTACAACATTAGAAACCTTAAATTTTTTGGTGTATTTCTATTAGTCCTTATCAATTTATATTTGTGCTATCTATTTTGTTGGTTGTGTTTTTCTTTCTTTACCTCTTTGGTCTTCTTCTCTTTAATTATTTCCTTGTCTATTTTTTTTTTTACAAAATCAATTTAAACATTTTTATAAATCAAAGATTTTTTAATTAAACATCATTTTTAAACCTCCAAAATTTTCTCTCTCGCGTTTAGAGTAATTTGTCCAACATTTAACACATACAAATAAAACAAACTCAACGACGAATCTTTTGTTTAAACTCACTAGCTCAAAGGGAAAAAGATTGCAACAAGACATTGATATATAAAATATTTACCTGTCTAATACCATTATTGAAGTAAACACAATTGGACATGATAATAGAGATCTATAGTCGGTCACTTAGATGGCAACAATAAATAAATACACCTTCATCGGGAAGCTGATAGAGGATAATAATAAGGCTTTCAAAACTCATGCAGATTCGCTCATACTCCTTATGAAAGGTTACTCATATCATTGAGGCTTCTCAATCACACTATTAAAGTTCTAAACCAAGAAAAGATAATTACGCTCTTGAAGAAATTTATGAAGGGGGTAACCATCCTACATCTAAGGGATCTTTAGAAAAGAAAACGTTGAGGGCAATGTACTGTTATAAACGAAGAACAATGACGAATAATAACACATTAAAAGATGTTATGAATGCTAAAGTCGTGGCGATGTACATCTAGCACCAACTGCAAATATGAGCACAATTTCCTCATCATGTTTTTGCACCTGATGGGAAATGGATATCCATGGACCTTTCCCAATGGCATAGAGGAAATTGAAATATTTGATTGTTGCCATCGAATACTTCACAAAATGGATAAAAATTAATAGTACAATTAACATAACCGACCGTAGCATCCTTTTTCTCTTTGAGAGGAATATCCTCACAAGGTTCGGCCTTCCATAAGCCGTTTTAACGAACAACCATATACAATTCATTAACATGAGGTTTTGCATTATGCTAGAAGAACTATGTGTTATACAAAACTTCACTTTGGTAGAACATCTTCACATTAACATCTTACGTAAGTAAATATAGTTATAGTATACGACCTCAAAAGGAGACTTGATAACGTAAAAGGTAGTTGGGTGAAAAACTCATTCACGTTTTATTGAAATGCAGGACAACTCCTTATTTACACTGCAGAAATACATTTAATCTCTCTTCTGGATTCCATGCGGTGATTTCAACCGAAATAGGAAAGTTAAGTTGAAGGATCATGCATCTCTAACTAGGAAGCAAACTGAAAAAAGATGTAGAGAATAATTATACTTCCTTGAGCAATGCTACAATTATACCATAATGAGTAAGAAAATTATCAAACAAGAAATGACATTGAAGTACAAGAAGAAGTTGTTCTAACAAGAGTTTGGCCTTGAAGACTTAGTCTTAAGAAGGACTGATGTAGGAAAGAAGAGTGCAACATCCAGAAAGTTGGCTCCTAATTGAGAGGGATCAACCAAGTTGTGACCAACATTGGGCGAAGGGCGTACATGCTAGACATGCTAACTAGAGATGTAATACTAAGAACTTGGAACACATCTAAATTGAAAATATTCTATAGTAAAATGTAACGATATGAGCTCATGGATGACTTATTGTTAAGCAATAATGAAAACATTATTTT